TAGCCAACGTTCAACCTCTTCAGACGATGCTCCTGAAGTTGAAGGATTTATTTTTACAGCATCTAAACAGTGTGATGTAATGTATACATTGTATATATAGAATATATTTATGTATACATTAGTAAATAATTAAACTATGTATATATATATATATATATATATATATATATATATATATATATATATATATATATATCTGTGTGTGTGTCAATTTCATGCTCTAAAATTTACATACACATTATACATGATGACCATCTTTGTCTTTCATTAATAATTTTATTTAACTTTATTGATAGTAAAATACTTATTTAATACTAAACTGTAAATTCTAAATAAAAATATTTTTAAAATGTTCTGTATAAAAATATAAGAAAACAACGAATAAATGTATGGCTCACACTTACCAGTGCATTCATAACTTTCTTATCTGATTAGATGTCTTCATTTAATTTGAGTAAGCTTGCCTCATCATTTACTGAAATTTCAAAAGGGTTATCAACCAAAATTGCTTCCCTGTTTTGATTAAGTACTCCAATAAGTTGACTTATTAAGGCATTATTTGTATCTAATTTTTTGTTCAGGTTCTCTACTGAAATAAGCAGCTCTTTTTTAACTGCTGTAAAAATATATAATATAAAATATAAATTTTAAAATATATAGGAAAAACAAAACAAAACGAGCATTATAAAAATAACTCTTAGTATAAGTTATATGCATACGACTAACCAGTGCAATGAAGTGTTCCTTCGCTCACTTCAGCAAGAATTCATCTCACAGTTGAACATCCGAAGTTGTCAACGAAGATCCTAAAAACTAGAATTAAAAAAAAATAATTAACTGAACAGTTTAATTCAGTTTACTAATAGGTTAGCGTGTTCTTTTTTTTTTTTTTTTTTTTTGTAATTCACCTCCCCAAGGCCGAGAAGGCCACTACAGAGGAGGAGACTACTTATGGTTATAAACCTTTCTTAACTCTATAACTTTGAAACACGAACCTTGACAAACAAGGCCGCTGCGCGGAGAAACGAGTTGTATATATATGTATATATATATATATATATATATATATATATATATATATATATATATATATATATATATATATATATATATAGAAACGAGTTGTATATATATATATATATATATATATATATATATATATATATATATATATATATATATATATATATATATATATATATATCAGGCCTTCTCGTAAGAGCCGTGCGATTGCACGCCTTATATGACCACGCATTTAGTTCTTTGTTTTTACAACTTGACACGGCTCTTTGCAAGTTTTGATAATTAACGCGTTTAAAAAATGCGCTAAAAAATAAATAAAGCAATTTTTAAATTAATTGATTCCATAATCACAATTAAACTCCCACAAAGTTTACTGAGTACTTTAATTCAACTTGATTAAAGACAATCATTGAAAAAAATTTTTACATAAGAGTTTAAGGCAAAATGAGTACATAAGTATTTGTGTGTTATAAAGTGGGCTTGGTAACGAATTGTATCAAAAACGACTTGGCGAGGATATCCTTGCCAAGTCGTTTTTGATACAATTCGATTTAAATGGAGGGCTCATCCATACCGGGGTGTTGGGAGACACCGAAGAAAAAACAGCAACCAAAAGGTTGTAAATGTCTTCTATCAGTAGAGATATTTATGACTTTTTAGTTGCTGCTTTTTCTTCGGGTTTTTTTTTTTTTTAATTTTGTAATTTTTTGTTTCGGTGTTTTTTTTTTTTAATTTTGTAATTTTTTTTTAAATATATATTACGTTGTATATTTGATTTGTTTTGATCTTTTTTAATGAAAATTTTAATTGTTTTTTCACCAATTAAACCTGACTTCAAATTTAAAGCCCTCTTAAATTTTAAGAGCATGAAATTGACAAATCTTCGCACCGCGAAGTTAACTATATTTGAAAAAAATTTAATTTATATATATATATATATATATATATATATTTATATATATATATATATATATATATATATATATATATATATATATATATATATATATATATATATATATATATATATATTAATTAGTTTTATTTCGTCAATTAGATCTTAACGATAATATTTTACTATGATATTGTTGAGGTCTAATAAATATATATAACTACAAAATAGCTAGGACAAGTAGCAGACAAAATATTTTTGTAAATGATATTTTGTTATAGTTACTATAAAATTCCGCTTCCCCGCATTTTCTACAAATGCATTATTTGATTAACATTTATTCGAAGCTAGTCAAAATGTTATTTTAAGAGTCAAAAAAATATCTACCTCAATACAATATTTTTAGGTATTCACTTTCCAATTTCTGAATGTGAATTTTTAAAACTTTGTTACCATTAACGTATCAGTGCTCCATTGTTAAAAAAAAGCTACCAAACATTCTTTTAGAATTTATTTGATTGAACCTTTATCTTAATCTCATCAGAACCTTACCTCAGAATCTAACCTCAGTCTCTTTATATTTAATATTAAAATATATTTTCTCTATTTGTGGATTTAGCTTTGTGGTTACGACTCTTATGCTTATCTTATTTTATTTATCTTTTATTTTTTTAACACATTTTTCATGTTATTGATGGCGTAGAATGTAACTGTTTTACTTTTTCTGGCTGCCATGGTTTATAAAAACATTTGATTTAAATTGTTGTTTTGACTAGTAATAAGATTAATTATTTAAAAGTCCAAAATTTGCAGTTTATATGCACAATTGTGTAAATTAATAATAACAATAATAACAATAATAATAATAATAATAATAATAATAATAATAATAATAATAATAATAATAATAATAATAATAGTAATAGTAATAAAAACAATAATAATAGTAATAGTACGGGAGATGCAAAAAATTTATACCTCATTTTTATTATTTCATTAATGAGAAAAAAATGTTTGCGCTTTTATACTTTACGTGTAGACATTAAAAAGGTCAATTATAGTATAAACCATTAAAATATATATTTATACTAATTAGTTAATTTACTATTCTATCTGTATTGTAATTATATACAATTTTATTTAATAAGTTTAATATTTGCGTCCGTACTCGAATTTTTCGGTCTAATTAGATTAAATCCTTACAGTTTACCTGTGTTTTTCAAAAAAGCAACAATTTTTGTGAATTTATAAGCGTCTATTTTTGAATCTTTTTTATGCTAGTATTGGCGCGGCCTTAGTTATCGTCTAGAAATATATAACCGAATAAATAATACATAGTTAAGATTCGAAACAACATATTAAGTCATAAAAAAATTAAGTTTTACATTGGGACACAATTCATCTTTGAAACAAATCACCTTTAAGCTCTAGGGATCAAGTACCCTCATTATATTTCTTTGTAAATTTTTGTAAACTTTGAAAACCCCACAGGACCGAGATCTAGTGAACAAAAAATGGTTATTTTATAATTGTATGCACTACCGAATTAAAGTTAAAAAAATAATTTACACTGAATACTTTTATCAAAAATCTAATTAAAAATAATTTTGTAAAACACCAACAAATTTAATGTATTATTCATACACATACGTAATTCACATACAATACATTCAACGGACGCAAGTTTGTTAAAACAAGATTTTCAAAAAACCAAGTGACAGACGCCAAGAAAACTTGTTAATATCGCTATTGGAAAAAGAGACAACTATTTTTTTCCCTTGATATTATGGGGTGATTTAGAAGAGTTCTAGATAATTAAGGGTGTCTTTTCTCCCTTGATGGTTCATCCTTAAGTCATTAAAATAAACTAATATAGCTTGAAGTATGCAATTCCTGTGCAATTAAATAAGATTTTATGTCTTTTAAAGCTTTTTTTTCTTGATATTTAACAGTTCAAGGATTTACTTTTTTTGTTTGATAATTAAAAAAGCCCACACTCAGATATAATGACCATACGGGCAGACTAATAATAAAAAAGTTATGCTTTGTGGAAAAACAAAAAAATAGTGTGGAAGGCTGCTCGCATTGATTATTTTAACCATACAATAAATTCTTTACATATTATTCAACGCTTGCGTTATGCTTTGACGTTCAAAGATGTCCGAATTCGTTGTTTGCGGGTTTAAAAGTTATTTTTGTATTTAAAGTATGCAAGTACAAAAAAAGATTGATAAGATTTTTTTTTGTAATAAAACAAACCGTAGCGAAACTTTTCACCCCTATTTAATGTGTTTTTTTTTTTCTTCTTTTTTTTAACAAATCTTAGCGTTAGTTATCATATTCTTTCCATAATTTTCAGCGTTCTGTACGTCTTCCCTTTTAAGAAAATATTGTTTTGCCCCTCATGTTGTCTGCGGGGATAAAAAATGGATGAAATTTTTATTATACTTATTTTAGGTTATAAAAAAAAGTTGCTTTGATGAACAAAGAGTTTTTCTTTCAAAATTTCTTGCTAAATATTTGGATATTTTAAAATATTGTGAGTCATCGTATAAATCTGTTTTATTTTTATTTTTTACGATTAAAGAATAAATTTTTAAGGCTTCTAAAAACGCATCTGGAGCTTTAGTTATTTTGTAGGGGGTCTAAACGTTAAGCGAAAACCATTTCTGACACAAATATAATTGAAGTATAATTAAAGCAACATTCTTCTTGACGAAGAAGTTAAATAACTCAATTACCAATAACTTTAAATAAATTGTTAAAAATAAAAGAAAATGCTAATATAAAAATGTATAGTTTCATATATATTAAATTGCCGAACTACTCATGCTAATAATACTATAATTTAGTTAAGTGAATAATACTTTTTGGTTTTAAGTCACAGAAAAATGAAAAGGGATTTTTTTTTTTTGAAACAGATTTATAGTAATTAACGAATGGCATTCGAAAAACGAATTAGATTAATAATAAACGATAAAACATTTATTAGATGTATTATTTTCCCCCGTTTTTTTGTAATTATACTATGAGTCATGTTAAATAACTGAAGTCTTATGTGATATTTTGTTAGCAAAGGGAAGTTAAACCAAGGAAGTTGTAAAGGTATTCATCTATTTTAGCGATTTCGAAATTTTCTTCAATTTTTTAACGAGTTAAGCTCTTCTTGGTGGAGTTTCCGATCCAAAATGTGGCTTTGTTATATGGTTTCTGACCTTTGAAATAAGAAATCTAAACAATCCTCCTATTGGTTCTATTCAATTTTACGCACATTAAAATTTTTCAAGCTAATTTTTTTTTAATACTAATTCACAAGATTTATGCATATTCACAAACAATGAATACAACTTAATTATAAAAAAATGATAAAAACTTTTTTATTCTAATAAATTTTTTCTTGTTTTTATATCTCTTTGTCAAATTAAAAATGTCACTATTGATTTTTTTCACAGCTCAGCGTTTTTGAGATAATTAACTTTACAATAAAATACATATGTATGGTAAACTTTCATATTTTAAAAAATTTTAAAAGGTTTTTCCCTGATATTGTTTTTTTTTCACACCCTCCATCATAGGGGATTTGTAATAATTTTCTTGCTTTTTAAACCGACGGTTTTGACGAGAAGATCTTGTTTAATTAAAATAACGTTTATATTTAATTTGTTTTATGTATTCTTGTCTAATTTCAAGACATTAAATCTTGAAATTTTTATTTTATATTTATTTTCCTTAAAGAGTTTTAAATGTTATTTTGATAATGTATATTCGATCCTCATAGGTAATAATATCAACCTACAATTGCACAACATTGTCCGCTTGACTTCTTTTATTACCTTCAAAGAAAAAGTGAAAACGTGTTTCTTATACCTAACTGGTTGGTAGTAATACAAGCTTGAAAAAAATGGATATTTTTTATTTAATTGGCAATCCGGGAATATAATTTTTTTAAATAATACTTAAGCTGGAGGCTACTGTTGTTTTAGTAATGGCTGGACCTCCTAATGCTCAAGAAGACAATTACAAACGAATAGTTAAAAGTTATGTTGGAGAAAAGTTAAGGAAAAAAGGATTAAAAATTCGTGGATATGAAGGAGAGGAATTAAAACCACCTGTCATTGAAATAGCAAAAACACTACAAAGAGTTGGAGATGAACTTGAATCAGCCAATACTGATTTTTTTAAAAATATGTGTGACCAGTTACAAATAACACCAAGTACTGCATACCCCACATTTCAGTCTATTGCAGATGAGATATTTGTTTCAGGTAAAAATTGGGGTAGAGTAGTAGCATTTTTAACATTTGGAGGTAATTTTGCTGTACATTGTGCTCTAAGAGCAGATATGGGAGAAGAATATGTAGATAGAGTTGTTAATTGGATTTCTAAATACATGGCCGTTAATCTTGATTACTGGATTAATCAACAAGGTGGATGGGTAAGATTTGTATACATTGTTTTTTTTTTTAATATTCATTTAAAACATTATAGTATATAGGAATGCAACATAAATTTTTAATTAGTTAAATATTATGTTAGTATTCAAATCCAAAAAGTTGACATTTTAAGCATCAATATTTGCAAACAAACTATTTATTCTATTTTTCACAGACATGAAAAATAAAGTAAAAATAAATAAAACTTTATTAAATTTTATTGGCACAAAACTTAATAAATTTTTAAAATCTAATTGAATACTTAGTTTTATTTGTATTTTACAAAAAATACAAATAAATTTGATAAAAAGTTGAATGCATGTTACAAAAAACTTTTATAAATTATAAGAAACGTACAGACAACATACTTTGAGGCAATATGTTTAAAATATGTGTGGAAGTAATAAAACTTTATCTTAAATGTATATTGCATATTACTTAAAAGTTTTATCGCAGCTGTGTTCCATTTCATTTTAAAATTGCTATAGTTAATAAAAGTTTATTATATTGTATATATATATATTATTATTATATATATATATATATATATATATATATATATATATATATATATATATATATATATATATATATATATATATATATATATATATAATTTATACAATATAATAAACTTTTATTAACTCAAAAATAATATTCATTTCAAAGTATTTTTAACTTATTTATCAAAATTAGCATAAAAAAACATTAGAAATGCATTTTTTTCATTTTTTCTTAAAAAACGAATTTTTTATGTAATAAAACCAAAAATAACAATTTTGTTTCGAAATAAATATTATTTTTAAAATTTTTATATAATTTCGCTTCATTTGAGTACCAGGTTGACATATTTTTGAAAAACTTTTTTTTCAAAAGTATTAGGGACCCATTAAATATTTGAGGGTCTTGAGGGACCCCTTAAAATATTTTTTATTCAAAAAAAATTTAAACCTAGTGTTTTTGCATTAGATAGAACACGTTTAGGGGGTAAGAGCAGATTATTTTCAAAAATGTTGTTTTTTGGGACACCCATATATATATATATATATATATATATATATATATATATATATATATATATATATATATATATATATATATATATATATATAGTTTCTTTGTAATACAAGATATATGAGTATTTATAATTTTATTTAAAATAGTTTTAATCTTTTAGACATGTTTCAACTACATATGGTATAAAAAATAATGGTATAAAATATAAGATATAAAAGCAAAAATAGAACATAAAAGAAGTCGTAAAATTGATCATAAATTTCCTATATATTCACAATAAGATTAGTGTGAAAATTCTTTTTAAAATGTCAAAAATTAACTGAAGAACAGAAAAACTTTTTTGATTATATAGTTAGTGTTATTTTTTTTTACAGTTAGTATTATTTTGTTTATCTGACATTGTTTATCTGTTTATATTGAGTTTTTCCCATTTTATATATATACTTTTTTTAAATTTTAAGTGTAGTTTGCTTATAAAAGAATCTAAATCTAAAAACAATGAAGAAAGGGATTTTTTTAAAACTCACCCACAAACAAATTGACAAGTATACATGCTTATAGAGAGTCCAAAGCATAGCTATTTATTTAGTTGTAAATTTATCATATAAAAATCTTGTTAACTTCAAGTGTACATGCAGTAGTTGTGTAGTGTTAGAGTGTTTGCCTGATAAGCAAAAACTTTTGAGTTTGTTTACTGCTCTCAACTCATTTCTTCAACATTGATTTTCTATATTATACCCTTCCTATAATTAATAATTAGTTAAATAACCCACAATAGCTATTTTTAATATATAATTATGATAGGTATTAAAATTGTTATTATATTAAGTAAACACTAAAAACTACAACACCTATTTAAATGTAGGCCTTGTTAAGAAATTTTACGCTGCTCGCATTTTACATGCGTAAAGGTGATATGCCTACGCATTCAGCAGCTTTACATTATGCGAAAACTTACATCTTTTAGAATGTTTAAATTATCTTTTGATGTCGTTTATGTGACATTTTATTCAAAAGATTTTTCGTCATAAATAAAAGCATTTAACCGCAATTGTTGACTAATTGATTTTTGGTTAACAAATTATGAAATAAATGACTTTTTAGTGTCAAAGTTGCTTTTTCAAAGTTTTTCTATTATCAATTATTTTTTTAGATTGATCATAGAAAGAACGTCGACTAAAAATGTTGAACAAGTTTATGAGTAGTAGACGAATATTTTACCATAGTCAAGTTCTTTAAAAAAAAATTGTTGATAGTTTTTTTTTTGCTTTGCTTGAGCACTGTTAAAAACTGTAAAGTAGTATGAAATTGTAGTTATGAATAAATGAAACTTGTAAAAACTATTTGAAAGAAACAATAAAAACAGATCTTTTTTATACTTTTAATTTCAACCCAAAATGACGTGATATAACTGAAAATTTATATCTGTGTCAGATTGCAAATGATTGACCAGATTTGGTCACTCGATTATTAAAACTCAAATTACCTCTTCAATAATATTTGTAAAAATTTATACAAAAATATAATACTTATAACAAATACTTAAGAAAAAAACGATACTATTTAACATAATTAATTTTTTCTTGCTTCTAAAAATGTTTTCTCTGTAATCATGATAATTTTATCGATCTTTCTTTGGTAAAGGGAACTGTTACATTGCTCACAACTAAAATGTTACTTAGTTAATAACAATTAAATAAGAAAATTTTATGCGGGCCTCATTTGGAAAAAAAATTAAGATACATGTGGCTACAATATTTATAATTTAAAGTAAAATAATTATTACACTTAGTTAGGTTGGCTATTGTTTAATGCGCCTTAAATTTCTTTCTAGGCTAAAATTGCTATTAAAAAAAATAACGGCAATGTGTTTTTAATAAAGCGGAATAAACTTCTAGCTTATGATAGTTATTTGTTATTTCCTAATGACATTTTCTTTATAAGGGGTCTTATGTTTATTATGGCTGTCAACAAATCAAATATTCAATCTTTCTATACTTTTTTTAAATTTATCAAATTATCATTATTTAAAAAATGGATAACATTTTGAATAAAAACAGAGTCACTTTAAAAACTTTTAAAAAATGGAATCTTTCAGATTTTTTTTGTACAGAAACTGCTGAAGAGAATGAAATTACATGTTATAAAAATCTTCTATAATGTATATGTGCTTTATCAAGATAATATTTTGGCCAACACCGAAGGAGCAATAAGAGCATTCACATTATGTTATATTAATGGGACACGTTACATTAAAAAAGATAGCGCTTCTTGGCATTTACAAAGTACTGTCCACAGAAATGCGATCCAATTTTCAAATGACCTAAAGGAAAATAAAAAAGTAAAAGCTAACGACTAAGATCAACAGGGTAATAGTCAGCATAAAATAACCAAAACTAAACTGCGATAAAGCAAATAATAGGTTTTTAAAACATTTTAAAAATAATAATAATAATCTATTTTAAATATGAGTATAGATTTTATTTGTAACTTTTGTTTTAGTTAAACTGTAAAAGTTAAATAATTGAAAAAAAAAATAGTTTTAAGGATTTTTAACATGATTTGAAAATAACACTGCGGTACTTAAAATTACTCTAGTGACGCAATTTAACTTTTAATGATATTAATATGTTAGCTAAGTTGAGTTACTTTAAAATGCATAAGCGTTTTTGTTGCACAACGAAATCTCATGATAAGGTCTGATAATACACTTTTATTTAATTTAAGTAATAAATTATAGCGACTCAAAAATAGTAATAACAATTCTGACAAGGTGCTCAGATACATTTAATAGACTTCCATTGCTACACTTGTAAAATGATACTTTCTAACTGTGTTTAAAAACACTTTTAAAACTATTTTATCAGTAAAACCATATCTGTTAGTTTAAACAATACCATTCGTGTATGAATATTTGAGCCTAAGCTAACACTGTCTCAGTTTTTGCATAGGAAAGCGAAACGCTAAACTTATTAAAATTCTCATTGTTTTCTCATAAAAAAATCAGGACAATGACAACCCTAGCCTAAGTATAATTCAGCATGTAGCTATCAGTGTACACCAAAGGCTTTGTGTACCGCATATGCTGCAATTTGCCTCTTATATTCTTTAAAAGCAATGTCTGCTATTGTAGGCTTGGGCAGGAATGGTGTGCAATCAAGCGCTATTGCTGACTATGCAAATGATTTTATTTTTTGACAACTTAACCACAACTGTTTTGATATTTAGACAATTTCTAAACATTTTAGAAACACTCTGAAAAAAGAAATGCTAGCCAAAATTAAACTAGGAAGATAATTAAAAAAAAAATGAAAAAAGAAAACAACTTTTTACAAAAAAGAAAATATTTAAGCACTAAAATAAAACTCAAACTTGAAGCAAAAAACTTTTTGTTATGTTTTTAATTGTGTTTAAAGTAAATTACTTTAAAACTTATCTATTGAAATGTTTTATTAAAATTATGCAAAACACTTTTACAAATTTCTTCTATCAATTGTTTAATGAATGAACAAATTTTATTTAAATTATTTAAAAGTGCTTTATATATTATTTTTAAATTTTATAAACTTTTCTTTTTTCCAAAAAGTTGCAAAAAAACAAACAAATACCTTTGTTTAAAATAGTAATTTTTAATCATTTCACGTTCTGATTAGTTAGTCAAATTAAAAAAAAAAAGTTATAAACAGTTCTTTGAAAAATAGAAACAAAAAAAGTAAAGGAATTAAATCATTCCATTGCAACGGTAGATTTAATTTAACATATTCATAATTTAAAGTAACTTATAAAAATATCTTCTAAGAGATTTTTAGAAAGACATATGGAGGAAAAATAGTTTCAAATGTTTCAATTAATTATAAAAAGTACATGCCTGAAAAAATTTAAAAATAACATTATTTGTTAATTTACACAAAATGTGTTTATTTTAAACAATTGCTGTAATTAATTTTTTATTTTATTTAAAGCTTTCGCGTAATATAAAAACTTTAGAAAAGATCAGCGATAAGAAGTTATTCATAACATAACTTTTTTTATAGCATTTAATTTGCTAAAACATCAAATCATGGTCAAATTGTAAAAGAAAAAAATTATAAGCATGGTCAATTACAGTGTGTAATAGCACCCCATTCCTGTCCAAGCCTGCTATAGGCAATGTATAGCATAAAGTCACTGCACATTTTTGAATAATTTGTATGCTGGGTGACTTGCCATACGCAGTCCTATTAAATCCGTTTGTACTTTTACTGGTTTAAAGTTACATAACTTTAGGCTTAACAAAATTAAATTAATAAACTTATAGAAGTTAATAAGCGTAAGTTAATAACATATGCTGATATAAAATTTAAAAAATCCCAAATTTTTTTAATTTTAATGCTGTTCTTGCAGTGATTTAAAATTTCATGAAAAAAAAAGATATGCTTAATGAAAATTAAAATGTTACTTTTATAAAGATTTTCAAAAAGCAATATCAATAATTGATACTTTAAATAAATGAATGCTAATTGAAGAAAAATTTTTAAATTATAAGAATTATGTAAACATTTTATTGCTGATATGCCAACACCAAGATATAGCAATGAGTTATTTTTTTTTTTCAATAATAAAAAAAGCAGTAGCTTCTGGTGAAACTTTGACAATATTTATTTGTTTTTATTGGTTTCTAATGACAATCTTGTGTTTTTAATTCTTTTAACTAGGTTTTATCTCTAACTTGGGAGTGGGTAAAATGACTACTGCAACTTTTTATATTTACTAAAGTCAATAGTTAAAACGGACATGTGTAACTAAAAACATAAAAATTTATCATCATGAAATTAATATAAATCAGAATCAATAATTTATTGGCAAAAGTTTTAAAACCAAAAAAGATGATTTATGAAATCAAATATAATGAAATCTTTATTTAAAAATCTTTTTACATTTGAAACACATTTGTTGATCTACCTGAAATTTGTTTTTTATTACATACTTTTAACTAAATTATTTTCAACTGACTAAAATAGTTACATCATATACCACATATGATGTAAGTATTTTATTGTTTTATATGGTGTGATAAGTACTCAATAATAATGATATACAAAAAGTAATTAAATTAAATCAACCTATTGTATATATTTTACAAAAGTATAAATCAAACAAAAATAATTGTAAACTACATTCAAGTTCAAATATTTACATGACGCCAACCAAAAATTACTTAGAAATTAAAAAAAATTATACAAATTATATAAAAAAATTTAGCGTTTAGCAGTATAATGTTGTCATTTATTTAAATGACAACATTATACTGCTAAACGCTACCAACAAAAGTGTCATCTAAAGATCTAAATTGAAAGAAATCATTTTCAATTTCAGATATGGCTGCTTCATCATAGTCAACAGTTGCATCATCATAAGTAACTAATAAATTCATCAAGTTGTATGCACACCAATGATGAGTGGCAGGTGATCTGATGTTGAATTAGGTTTAATAAGAATGTTATCTGAATAGAACTGTTCTAGGATAGCTGTTCATATGTTGTAGATATAAGATCTATCAATATATCAAACTAGTGTACTGTTACACCATTGTGTAATGAGCTGATCAATAGTCTGTTGAAGTTACAATAAAACTCTGTTTCTGTAACAAACTGGTAAGTTACTGACACATGACTTGGTATTGTGCATCAGTTTGTATCATGACTGTTTTTCGATAGATAGTGTTCAGTTTTGATAGATAGTGTTCAGTTTGGTGTCAGTGCAGTTATCAATTTTCTAAAACTGTTTCTAAAACTGTTTCTCTTTTGTTTGAAGACCAAGCAAACTCTGAGCTAACAAAGTAAACATTACACAAAATTATTATGAGACATTTTAAGTTACTGTAAGATTGGTGTTTTATTTACTGAAATTTTGTAACTTTTTTCCTTTAAGACCATATTTCATTCATATTTCAAGTTATTTGTTGTCTACAAATTTTTATGGAAGAACTAAACCCTGTTATATAGGTAAAACTTCTTGCCATCTAAAGAACATTAATGTAAAATAAAAAATTTATTTATAAGCGTCTTTATTCAAAATAAAGTTGTTTCACTAATTATAATGATAAATGCTTTTCAATTTTAGATTTTGCTTTCAGCAAATTAGATTTAAAACCTAAAGAAAGTATGCGTATAAAGTGGGAAAAACCTGATATGAATAAACATGCCATGTTAACATGTATTTATGAACTAAGTAGTAAAGAACCATTTACCATTTAGTTGAAATTTTTTCCATTCTTTTGTTGTTATGTATATTTGTTAAAAAGAGTTTTTTTAGTGTATCTATAATAAGTTTGTAATCAATTTTATGACATCTATTAAATTTTATTTTCACTTTTATATACTAAATAT